TATGATACACAGTTTTAAAGTCAAATAAAGTTTGTACAAAAAAGTCCCATGGCGTTTTTAAATCCGTTCATTCGTTTTAAAATTATGGCGGTTCGAAATTTTTTTTGCAAAAAAGTTTGACCCCTGACAGTATGGCAACCCCGCATTACACAGACCTAACATATAGAACTTTTTTTTTCGAGTGGCTTTTTTGCAGAGAATGCCTGGTATGTGGGTATATGAATAACGATCGCTTAAAATTGATCTCAAATTTGTACTTGCGCTGTAGAAATTTCTATGTAATGTAGTTTGACTATTTTCAATTTAATATAATGCTTGTATTGCATGCGATCCACGTTTTTCGTTTTCAATCTCATAAATTGTTTATAATGACTTTTGCTAAAATTTCAAAGTCAAAAGTTAGCAAAACAAATTCTATGGGACTGAGAAATATTATTTTCTACTTTTTAGTCCATTTATAAAAGCGTGGTATATTAAAAATGTATTTTATTTATGTATGTATTAATTTACTCATGCTAATCAGGTTATTTACTTAAGTCCTACTGTATCTAAAGGTGAGAATTTCTATTCTATTCTGGATGGTAGCGTTAAGTGTAAGCTTTATTTATATTTGAACCATTTGTTTTATTAGTACATGCGAGTACATTAAGATATTTTTTTTTTGTAATTTTTAAGGCGTCAACTTCAGAGCTATTGAAGTGCTTAGGACTATTTCTACACTACCGATGTAAAAAATTGAAAACCTTCGAAGCAGGTGATGCTGTTATGTGGTTAAGAGCTGTTGACAGGAGCCTTTTACTTCAAGGCTGGCAAGTAAGTATATTTAGCGAAACTTTCTTTAAGTATTTATACATTAATGTGCCTAACTATTAATGTGCCTAACTAAAACGTTTGTACATTAGACTGATCGATATTAAAATTTTTTTTTTATTATATATGGTGTTTTCCGGACAGAAAAATGTGTCTATTGATCTAAAAATAAAGTGTGCAAAATTGTATTCCCATGTAATAACTCTAAACACGTACGTGTACGTTGCATTTGAAATTTCAGAAATCCGGATGTTTTCAGAGAAATATGTTTTATACAAATTATTAAAAATCGTGAATTTTCTACTGATGTATTATGTAAAAGAACTCATAGAATGGATGTTATCGTTTTTCTTTCAAATTCAGAAACATACATTTTGTTTTCCAAAAATCTCGAGTTTTAATCTTTTGTGGATGGCGCTGAATCATGATATTTAGATGCCCCTTTACAAATCTACATTTTAGATGACTTAATAAATCCCCATTCTTTAAGTATGCACACAAAGAAGCGCAAAATTGTTTAAACTCCATAGATAAACTAGGCACATCAACGGATGATCGGTATATCAAAAGTGTGCTGAATGAGAGAGAACACGGTAGGAATATCAATGACCCCGTTTGAACGGGAAAACTCTTTCATCTTGTGGAACAGCAGGATTATAGAAGAAGATTGCGCACTCTTGCAAGCCTTGCAATATTGCAGATATCTCGCCGGTGGAAATAAGATCTCTTAGCATCGAGGAGATTAGTACCTATGCCATATGTTATCTCAGCCCTATTATTCTTGGCCTATGAATAAGCAAGGTTCTGCTCTTCAGTTCTTTCAACCTAAACTATTAATTTTTACATTACAAACCGTTTTTGCATAGCAACACTATTATTGTTTTGTTTTGGCCAAAGCAAAAGCTCTTATAAGGCGTCACGAAGCAAGCCAGTCATTTGCTAGTACTACCCAAGAATGATAGAATACAAGATTGTGCCTATCAGAGAGGATTTTTGAGAATAATTTTATGTGACGTCACACTGGTGCAATTGCGAGAGAGAAAGTTGTAGTTTCGGGGCTCTGGAAAATCGTAATTTATTATTTAATTTTCCTTAATTTCTATAAAAGAACATATAACAAATAACAATTTGAAACATTCGGTAGCGTCACTTGCAGTGACTGGGTAACGGCTCCTTGTCCCGTTATGAGCCCGTTAGGCTGTAGTGGCGTGACTTTGGTACTGGTGGGCAGCGCTCTGCTGACGCCGGAGAGTAGCGATGCTAACGTCTATACGCGGTGTTCTGGCCGCGTCGGTATGTAGCGTTCTTGCAAGGTGGGTTGCGCTCTGGTGGTGCCGGTGAATGGCGTTCCAACAACGCTGGTGGGTAGCGCTCTGGTGACGCCGGAGAGTAGCGATCCAGTTGCGTCGAGATGTAGCGCTCTCAGCAATGCAGGTGAGGCGCACCGATGAGTGGTACTTTGGTGGCGCCGGGAGTAACGTTTTACTCGCGCCGCTGGGCGGCGCTCTGGCGACGTCGACAAGTGGCGCTCTATTCGCGCCGGAGAGTACCGCGCTAATGACGCCGGAGAGTATAGTTCCACTCGCGCCGTTGGGCGGCGCTCTGTTCGCGACGGAGAGTCGCTCTAGTGGCGCTGTTGTTGCCGCTCTGCTGAGAGCGGTGAGAAGCGCTCTTGTAGGCGCTGTCGACGTCCCTCTGCTAACGGCGCTGCTGACTGCGGTCGAGCGGATGTCGCCCGTACGCGGTTCTACGAGAGGCTGTGGTGAGAGCGTGTGTAGCTTCTGGCGCTGCCACTGGGAAGGTGACGTCCAGCCCGACGCTCAAGCCGGTGCAGAAGAAATCACCCTACCAGCCACTGTTGCAGAAGTGGAATCAAGTCCGACGCTCGAGCCGGTGCAGAAGAAGTCACTTCTTGCCAGTAGCCGTATGCTCACGACCACAGTCTCGTGCTGACTGACTGGTTTCTCGTCGTTCTACTCCTTTAATAGGCTATGTGCTTGATGTTGCGTTGTCGCGCAGCTACATGTTGCTGTGTGATGTTGCGTTGTCATGTCGAGTGTTGTTATGACTTGTGTTGCCGTGGTTTGCTGCGTGGCCCGTTGCGCTGACTTAAGTTGCTGTGGTGTGACTGGTTTGGTTGGTGGTGCGGGAGTTTGTGTGGGCTAAATTCTCTGGGGACATTTAGTCCTCACACTCCCCCCCTACTTGGTGGTCTGGAACTCCCCTGGCTCTTGGGTGGATGTGCGCGCCCCAGTGGTGTACGGTTACCCTGTAGTCTTTGGTGCTGGACCTCAGCCGGGGTTTGCATGCGCGGTGATATCTCTGAAGCTCCGACGGATTCTGTCCGCTATTGTGGCGAACTGGTCTAATTCCGGTCCCTCTGCGTCGCTGATGAGGATGCTTATTTCCTCTGGTGGTTCGCGGTTGAATGGCTGGTTGGAGTGACGTACGAAGTTAAAGTTGGTTAATTAATTCAATTATTTGTGTGGTCGTTCCCTTTTTTTTTTTGTGTGTCTCCTTGTGTCTATATGGCCTCACTGGTATGATACGTCTTTAATTCCGTGATATTGGAAGTATTTTCCCTCCCTCCATCGGTCTTGCGTAACTGAACGATCACCGGTGATATGTACCTCAGGATTTTGTAGGGGCCGTCATATTTGGGTGCCAATTTCGCTGTGAATCCGTCCGCGGCCTTGGATAGATGGTGTTCCTTGACGAGAACTAGTTCGCCGACCCTAGGGGTCCATTTTCGACGTCTGAGGTTGTATTGGCGGGCCTGGTTCGTCGCCGCTCTCTCCATGTTGTGCCGGACAATCCTGCATGCCTCCTGCATCCTGCTGGACTTATCCTCGGCAGTAGGGGGAATAGTGCCCGTCCCAATGTTGACCTCGTCAAAGAGTGCTCCATGTAGTCGTGGCTCACGGCCTTGGACGAGAAAAGCTGGGCTGTACCCAGTAGAGGTGGTGACACTGGTATTTATGGCTAGCTCAATTTCGGGGAGGAGGTCGTCCCATCGCTGGTGTTGCGATCTGGTGAGTTGAGCTATTATTCGCTTGACCGTCCGGCTAGCGCGCTCCGTTGGGTTCTCCCGGGGGGTGTATGGCGCGGTAAACTGTTTTCGTATTCCCATCTCTTGGAGGTAGCGTTGCCACAGCGTGCTGGTGAACTGGACGCCGTTGTCCGAGATGAGTATCTTCGAAACGCCAAATCTCGCTAGAATTCGTTCCCTGAACGCATGGCGGAGGCTTTCTGCCGTAGCGCGTCTCATTGGGACTAGCTCCACCCACTTGCTGAAACGGTCGAAGAACACCAATAACATGGTGTTGCCATGTGTAGATCGCAGTAGGGGTCCGACGAAGTCTGTGCAGATCGTTGCGAAGGGCTCCGAAGCCACCTGTGAAAGCATTTTTCCCGCGGGTTTCTGTTGTCCTTCCTTGTATTTTTGGCAGGAATCACACTGACGCACGTAGCAGCTGATGTCACGAAACATACCCGGCCAATAATATCGGTTGGCAATCCGCGCTACTGTCCGCCGGATGCCCATGTGGCCGGCGCTGGGAACATCATGGTTCTCCTGTAACACCCGCTGGCGAAGGGGGGTTGGTACACATAACTTCCAGGGCACTGCTTCCTCATCCTGGTTTCGGCACGGGATATGGCGGTAGAGCTGTCCGTCCTGTACCATATAGTCCGAGTATTTCTCCGGGTTGGCGTGTACTTCGCCCACGCGCTTACGACACCACTTGCATTGTGATTCCGCCGTTATCGCTTGCCGAAGGGTCTCCAGTGGTTGCCGTTATAGTGCGTCCGCGACCAGATTGAGCTTCCCCTTTCGGTATTCTATGTCAAACGTGTGTTGCTGCAACTCCAGGGCCCACCTCGCTATACGGCCGGAGGGGCTCTCGATCGAGTTCAGCCACTTCAGCGACATGTGGTCGGTGATCACCTTGAACCTGTATCGCTCCAAGTAGGGCCTCATCTTCCGGATTCCCCAAACGATGGCAAGGCACTCCTTCTCTGTGGGCGAGTAGTTGGCCTCCGCTTTGTTCAATTTTCTGCTGGCATAAGATATTACGCCTTCGCCTCCTTCTAACTCTTGTGTCAGTACCGCTCCCAGGCCAAAGTTACTAGCGTCCGTCTATAAGGTGAATCGCTTGTTAAAATCTGGACACGCGAGTACGGGGGCCTCGATGAGTTTCGAAGGCCTCTTGTTGTTCGACTCCCCACTTCCAGTGCTTACCCTTTGTCAGGAGTGCAGTTAGTGGTTGGCTTAACGTGGCGAAAGCGGGCACGAAGCGACGGTACCACGAGGCTATCCCGAGGTACTGGCGTACTTCCTTCACGTTAGACGGTGGTTTTAGTTCTTGGATCGCGGCTACCTTCTCGGGATCGGTGTGGATTCCCTTGTCGCTGACCACATGACCCAAGTATCAGAGTTCCTTCTTGAAGAAGTCGCACTTCTCGGGGTTAATGCGGAGATTCGCGCGTTGTAGTCGTGCTAGTACTTCTCGTAGGTTTTGTACGTGCTCCTCGATGGTGGAGCCTATGACGATAATGTCGTCTAGGTAGGCGAAAGCGTGGGGTTCCATTTCTGGGCCGATGACCTGGTCGAGTGCTCTCTGAAATGTTGCTGGCGCGAAGTGCAAGCCGAAAGGCATGACGCGTCATTGAAATAATCCGCGCCCCGGCACGGTGAAGGCCGTGTATGGGCGACTGTTCGGTTCCAGGGGTATCTGCCAGTAGCCATTTTTGAGGTCTAGGCTGCTGATCTATTTAGCCCTACGTAACTTGTCCAGTATCTGTTGTATTCTGGGTAAGGGGTATGCGTCGGGTACTGAACGGGCATTTAGTTGCCGATAATCCACCCCTTAGAGAGAAGCTCGTCGATCTCTGCGTTGATGATGGCCTGCATCGCTGGGTTGCGCGGAAAGTACCGCTGCTTGATGGGGTTATGACGATCCTGTGCTCCGCCACGTTGGCCACTCTGCTCATGGTCTCAAACT